ATTTGCTACTACCACCAAGATCTGCACCGGGACCCGCTTCACCTAGGCTCACGCTCCAGGCTTCACAGCAGGCCCCACGCCCTCCTACTCGTCGCGGCGTCAGAATCGCCGCGACGGCCGAACATAGGTCGCGCGCTTCAGCGCCATCCATTTTCGGGGCTGATTGATTCGGCAGGTGAGTTGTTACACACTCCTTAGCGGATTTCGACTTCCATGACCACCGTCCTGCTGTCTGTATCAATCAACACCCTTTGTGGTGTCTGGGTTAGCGCGCAGTTTGGCACCGTAGCTCGAATTTGGGTTCATCCCGCATCGCCAGTTCTGCTTACCAAAAATGGCCCACTTGGAGCTTTCATTGATCCTTGGGGTTCGCTTAAGCAACCCCAAAATCTTACCTATTTAAAGTTTGAGAATAGGTCGAGGGTGTTTCACCCTCGAGGCCTCGACTGCCGTGACGGCCACCCGTGGGGGGTTTCAATCGCTCCCCACCGCAATGCCGGTCACAGCAGCCCATGCTGGCAGGCGACCCACGTCCAACAAGGGGGGCGACAACACAGTCGCCGTCCACCCCTGCCCAGACGGGAGCGCACGACTTCCCCTCCATCCGCTTCTCGCTCGGCAATTTCAAGCACTCTTTAACTCTCTTTTCAAAGTTCTTTTCATCCTTCCCTCACGGTACTTCTTCGCTATCAGTCCCTCGCACATATGTAGCCTTGGATGGGACTTACCACCCAATTGGGGCTGCATTCCCAAGCAACCCGACTCTTGGACAACACCTCCTTGCGCAGCAGGGTCCGGCGGTCGACGGGGCTGTCACCCTCTTCGGCGTCCCCTTCCAGGGAACGTGCACACGGACCGCTGCAGAGGTTGCCTCTCAAGACTACAATTCAGGGAGCAGCACAGCCCCCGGATTTTCAGTTGGGCTATGCCCGGTTCGCTCGCCGCTACCAAGGGAATCCTCGTTGGTTTCTCTTCCTCCGCTTAGTTATATGSTTAAATTGGGCGGGTGCTCCCGCCCGACCTGAGATCAAAAGGCAAGGCCCGACATACCTCCACAGCTCGAGGCTGACACCCCCAACCGCAAGCCCACCTCAAGATGATGGGAGCGAACGAAAGGCGGCGACCACACAAACCGGAGGGACGACCTTACGTGCCGTTTTCTGGGAAACGAAGACCA